GCTGAACTTATTAGATTCGTTTTTGCAGCGTTATAAACACGGCTGTTAAAATGTGTAATATGAGAAGTGTGAAACTTCCATGTGTTGTGTAAATATGCAAAGCTACGGATTGCTGCTATTTTCTTTTTTGACGTTTGAAATTTTAGTTCGATGCTCTAGTTACAAGCAATATATCACATAGACAAAACAAACTAGACGAATCAGAAAAAAAGAAAGGTAAAAATTAAAAATATGTAGCGATAGCAAACCATATAAATTAGCAGTTTCTTATCTTTAGTGCAATGATAGAAGGAAATAATACAATACCAATTTCATGGACCACGCACTCGCACTACGTCATGTTTCATACTGGGATAAAAGGAAACATCACAAGGTCAGTTTTATGGATAATATAATAGCACCTCGTCACCTTTATGGGCGCTTAATAATATTGGTATATCTTAGACTTATGCTGTTTCAAAAGTGAATACAATGTTTTAGAAATATTGTGATCGGTCCATTTAATTATGCCTTGTCTGATATAGTTCTATACACAATCGAACGTTAACGGCATAATTTATTCTAGGATCTTATTTTGAAGGATGGTTATTATTCGTTGCTGTAGACAAATATATATATATATACTAAGGCACTGGAAATACCTCTTTAGCTTACAAAATAACTATTCTTAAGCATAGGAATACCAGAGAGAAATTATTTTCATAACATATTTTTTTTTGACTCATACGTCAAAAACATTTGGGCCTCCAGGGAGCTCAGTAGTAAATCTGGGGGCTCATTACGCTAAAATTCGATACCTGGGATGGAAATGTTATAATATGAGGATAGGCTAAGATCTCTGAGCTTCTATTCTCTTGAAAAAAAGAAGAGTAAGAAGAGTTATGATTGAAGTGTTTAAACTTGTTAGGGGTATTGATGCATCATTTTGTTCATGTCTAATGGTGAAAACAAAGACTAGACGACACAAATACAAGTTTTGGCAGTTAAGAAGTCATTTTCAGCTAAGACAACTTTATTTTTCTGGTAGGGTGGTTAGCTTCTTGAACAGGTTGCCTTCGGAAATGGTGGATGCAATTAATTAAAGAGTGTTTATGAAAAAGTTCTTTATATATTTGAATGATAAGGAATGGCTCAGAGATATTTTTTAGGGGGGTGGAGGAGTTTACTTTGGTGAATAGAACAGTCTGATTGACCCAAAAGGTTTTTTTTTTTTATCTTTAAACTCAATCTTTTATTTCGAGATGATAATTTTTGGTGTGAAAAAGCTAGATAGCCTTAAAACTATATTATTTTGGACATATATATATACTCATAAAACAATTTCGGCAAACAACCAGACAATACTTATAGACATATTATTTCGGTACTCGAATGACTGTCACCACATAAAATTCTTATCCCAACCTCCGAAAAGTTTCTGAAAGAAAAACTCCTGAACTTTTGAACCATATAATTTAGTGTGAAATATACAATTGTGCAATAGGGCCGTCTGCCTAACTTCTATTTAATAAAACCATTTCAGTTCATTTAATCGAACACTATTACGTACAATATGTACCATTCTCATCGTTAACGCAAATAGAATTTATGTTAAGATGTCTAGATTGGTTACTTCTGAAGTTTAAATAAGTATTGCAACTGTCGAGTTATAAGAAATATTTTCTAGTGCCATCGTAAGACAATTCATTTAATATATTCAACAGTAAATTTGATTTTGAAATCTGGGTAATTTAAAACTTACCTAAAATTATACCAGATTAAACCTTCATTCCAAGTAATAAAACAATCATCAATATATCTGAGCTAATGCAACATACGATCAACACTACTATACATCTTTTAGAACTAGCCCATTACTGAAACAGCGTAGGTAGGTGCCATTTTTGTATCCATGGCGGTTCCTCTTGTTTGGTGGTAGAAATCATTATTATAAATAAAATAATATTTTTAAGTACTAATCCAACAGCTTCTATTAAAAACCCTTTGATAACTCTGGGATGAAAGTTTTAGATAACTTTCATAAATATGACTTGCAGCTATGTGGTAGTGAGAGTTATTGTAAAAAAGTCTTTACTAATCCTTTACTTTAGTTGTTTGAACAGTTACCTAGCATGTGACAGGTCTCGGGTTCAAACTCGAGGCGATGAATTAAATGTGTATTGAAAAAATAAATTACTGGAGCTGGAAATACAAAATTAATGTTCATTATCAGTAAATAAAGATGCCATAGCTATCAAATTAAACTGATGAAATGCTTAATTTTACTGGACAATTTTACGTCATTTTTTTAACTCCTTCGTCACTGAAAGTATTAATAAATAAGAAATAAGGTATTGTATCGGTCAAGAGAGATTCAATAAGTTTAATGTAATCATTATTTAAATCAAAACGCGTTAATAATAATTTAGCATTTATGCATTTTTCGAAAAAATTAAATACACTTCTAATCAGAATAAAACCAACTCGATAATCTATTCATGATGTATTATGTTGTCCCTTGTACTTTATGAAATATATTATTTTTTGTTATATTTTTTATCATAATCAACGTTGTCAAATTCCGTACAAGTTTTTTTGTCTCTTAAATGTTCCATAAATGTCATAAAACTAATACTAAAAGTTTTTTAAAACTGTTGCGTTCCCTTTATCAGCTTTTTGAAGACATGTTTAGAACACAACGTGAGAAAAGATTTCCTCCAAGTATTATTATGTTTATTTTCAGTTTAAATAGAAGTTTGTTTTTATTAAAATTACGTAATATATCAAATTCATTATTGCTATAGTTTGGTATTGCCGTGTATAAAATCTGAGTCTGATTCGTACTATAGACATTTACATCTTGTTCTACACGCTGATGGGACAGTGAAATAAACAATTTCTTGATTAAAAATTAATTTGCAAGAATAACATTAGAAATATTTAACAAACTAAGAACAAATTTTGTGCACCCTATCGCTACCGACACATTATCTATATATTGGTTCGATATATAGTTGTTGTTGTTTTTTTTTTTATACAAACGAAAGGGTGTTGACCAAGTAAGTTTCCAAACAACAAATTATTATTACTGCGATACCACGAGTGCTTCGTTTCAATTACTGTACAATGCTTGATGAATACGAATAACAGTTCTTTGCTGTTGTTTATAACTTGTCTATAAATTTTTTCTCTGCTATATGTGGCTGGTAGTTGTCAGTTTTGTCACTTTCGTATTTATTTATTTTAGCAGTGTAATTATATGTCTTATTAAATTAGTAACCTAATTCGCTAATCAAAATTATTCAGCTATTTATAACTTATTTTCTTCCCACATATATAAAGTTCACAAATAAAACGAATGTTTTCAAATTGTGGTCCCCCCTTACAAGCGAACACTTACCAGCAGTACACTGACTGTGTATTAAAAACAATATTTATCACAGATTCTTCTGGTGCATCTTCTTATCAGCACGTGCCGCTAATAGTAACAAACATTATTTTGTAACGTTAAATGACCCTGAACAAGTCACTGTAACGTATGTCACCGTGATGTGGGATCACATGAGAAGTAATCACCGAAAATTTAACTTCTGACTTATGTTATCAATCACACATTTTATCAAATTCTAACCTTCAGAAAAACAAGAAGCGCTCCATTCATGCGATATGCCCGTACTGTTTCTTTTTGTTTTTAATCTGCAAAATATTTGTGTAATGTAAAATTGTAAACGGGGAGTAATTATTACGTTCAACGAATTACGTAATTTTATTCTTAACCATACCACAAGTGTACTAACAATATATTTACGTTGTTTAAAAAGCTTTAAAGCACTCAACGTTTGACAGAAATTTTAAACAATCAAACAAAAAAGCCAATATATTTAAGCCTAGAATAAAACTTGAAAATGCCAGTTGTTTCGATGAAAATGACAATACACAAAAAGCAGAAAAATACAATCACAAGCACTCAAGAAACATAATAAAGTATTTATTATTTGGTATAGTGTCCCCTAACTGTTGAAGAACATACACCAAAAAAATAATTTTAACATCAATGGTTCATTGTAGTCTTGGTTACAATTAAATAATATACTCAAAATTTAGTTAAAATATGCTTTGTATTAATTTATACGTTATTCTAATTAAAATACTTACACAATCTTGATTTTATTTTGAATAACAAAGTCCTTTCACTTTGGAATTTCCTTCAGCATTGCCCAAGTAATTTAACTTCAAATTTAAGACAATTTTATATTTGACCCACAATTGTGAATGTTCTTGCTTCAATAAACTAGAAGAGCACTTTGAAAGTAATTTTGTCTCACAATCCTGCGAGCCATTTTTCACTGGTTTCATCGTTATAACTTTTCAGAAAAAGTTAGAAAACCTACTGGAAGCTCAGGACACATACTGAATTTCTCTAGGTATAGTAAATGTTTTTACAAATGAAGTTGTACAAGTTAATTCATGTGTATTTACAAATTTGAAAAAATTAAATAGGCACTATTATTCATATTATTCAACCAAGAAAATAAAAATAATCATAAAAATTAGCCAAGGTTAATGCAAAAAAGGGTTACTTAGAAACTTTTATAGTGTTTTGGATACTATTCAATTATTCAAACAATGAAGAATTACCAACAACTACAAAATTAGGCTTTTAAATGTAAAGGTAGTGATATGATCAGGCACAGTATCATCAGAACCAGTTGCTTCTTTATCTTAAATCAGCAAAATCTTGAAGACAGAATATTTTTGTCAACTTTTCTATTGTTAAGAACTCTTCAGATATCCAGTATAATGTAAAAAACATTAAATACACGAGTTTCTATAAAACCAAAATTTAATAAGATGAAATATCTCTTTTTTTTTTTTTTTTTTTTTTTTTTTTTATCACAGTAATATTAAATTCAAA